CTTTTCTCGGTTGACCTGAAACCCCAACAGGTGGAAGTGCCGGAGCACTTTGTCTCTGTGCATAATCAATTGCTCCGAGAGTGGGCAAAAATAAGCCAGTCGTCAAGAAAATTGAGTATGCGGATGCCCGCGAGCCGAAAGGGCGCTAAGGCACCCTCCGCGGGCTTGGTGAGGACCCGCGGAGACAGAGAGAGCCCGAAGGGGAGGGCTTTGTATTTCCAAGCTCGACCTTCAAACGCAAACCGCAGAAACTGACGGTGGCGAGGAAGAGTGGAGACATGGTAATACACGTCCATCAGGTCTAATGCTGCAGACCAACCCAGAGGACGAACGCACCGGAGGATGCGCTTCTGCGTGAGCATTCTGAACGGCAGCTTGAGCAGACAGCGGTTCAAAGCGCGCAGATCTAGGATTGGCCTTGACCCACCGCTCTTTTTGGGCACGATGAAGTGTGGGCTGTAAAACCTGCTCTCCATCTCGAGTGGAGGGAGCGGCTCGATTGCATCCTTCGCCAGGAGGACAGCAATCTCTTCTCGCAAGACAGGGGTGGACAGGGGGCTGACCCTGGTGAATACACACCCGTGACTTGGGGGGCCGTTTCGCGAACTGGATCGCATAGCCGAGTCTGATTGTGCGTATGAGCCACCGCGAAGAGCTGGCCCGCGCTAACCAGGCAGGCAGAGCTCTCGCTAATGGACTCATCGCTACAATCGCTGACGTACCAGCAGTGGGGCAGCGCGGAGTGGGTGTGCTGATCCGGGAAGCGCGCGGGTCCCACGGAAGAGCTGGAGGTGAGAGATTTGCTCTCACTCCGCACCCGAGATCCAGAGGGGAGGCTCGAGGGGTGGGAGAAAGGAGACCGTCCTCCCAGCGCTCGTGAGCCATTGGCAAAACGCACTGAATCTGCAAGCTAGAAAGCATAGCGTCCCAGACTGGCAGATTTCTGGCTGTCACATCCGGGGAAGTGGAAAAGTGCTCTTTCATGATGTTTTCATGGCAGTAAAAAGTGCTGTTAGAAATGGGGCCCCGCCCTCCTGCGGGGAAAGAGCAAGTTCCCTCTTCTCCAGATGGCCTGTCCCAGGGATGCTTCGCGGTCCGTTGCCGTTCTGGGCAGGGGGGCTGCCTGCTTCCGAGGTGCTCGGCGTGCTCGCTTCGCCAGAGGCGTGTGCGGGGGCGGTGCAGCCCTCGTAGGCGGGTGCCTTCGGCGAGGAGCAGGTATGGATGGCACGGCGGGCGGAGCAGGCTTACGGACCCGCCGATAAGACATCACCCATCAGACTGCTCTCTCACCGCCTCGAATTCCTGGGTGAATTCACAGACGGTGTCGCCGAACATGCCAGCTTGGGATATGGGGAAGTCAAGAAACCTGAGGAATCGCCACATACCCCCTGGCTGTTCCACCGTCAAGAGTGGTGAGGGTGGAGGGACACGCAGCACGAGCAGAAAAAAAGTGCCCTTCAAGACCGCGTGAGCCTACTGTGCACCTCCGGAAAGAAGGGAACGCCCCTCTAGTCGGTCCGGCCGCGGAGCTGGGGGATAAACCATCTCCAACCCACGGCCGAAGCAGCCCGGGAAAGCATGGCTAACATGTCCGTTTCAGGATCCGTTTTGACAGCGCTCACCTGCCCGGAGGGGGCGAGCGGGTCTGGATCATCATCGGTCAATGAAAGCCCACCCTCCGATGCCGCGGTGGACGTCTGGTCTCCAGTGTCATCGAGCGTAAGGGCTACCATCTGTTAGACGGATCGCTTCCCCCGCCCGAAGCTTGGATGGAGCGCTTGGAGGAGCGGGAAGTCCGCGGGCCCGTGGGCGACGGATTATCTCTCGCTGAAACCTTCAGATCAGCCCGAGTGCCCGCTGCAGAGCAGGGGACAACTGGGGTGGTTCGCCCTTTTGCAAAGGGTAGCTGCGGTCTTTACTGCGCAACAGTATGGCATCGCAATGATGACATGAACTGCCCGCGAGCAGCGCATTAACATGCTGGACCCCCCAGGCATGCAACGCAGTGCCCGTGCCCGTGCCCATCATCCGAGAACAGGAAACCACCACATCCAGAAACGCACAGTCGGAGCGCCGTCCTGAAAAGGACGTGCTACACGACTGTGTTGCTCTTTCTGTGAAGTTGCAAATTTATACGCGCCGCTCTGGAGGACCGTACCCAAAGAACGCCAGGCAAGGGAGAAACCCAGCTCGACCGTCTGCCGCTGCGTGTACACACTTCGGACCGGGAGAATGCTCTCGTTCGCTCGGAATCGCTGGATCACAGCAGGAGGAACCCTCATCGACTCGATCAGAAAGTTTCTGAAGCGAAAAGGATGGCGCTTGCTCGCTCCAGGCGTGCTTATATGCTGGGACAATTGGCAATGAAGCACACCTGTGCAAGCTTACACTGCCAATTCATTGCATTCATTGGCCCGTTCAATACTCTTTCAGACAAGCGGCTTCTGAACCGAATCCTCCCATACGTGGATTTTCCCAAAGATCAAATCCACTGTATAGCACTGAAGTTCCCCAACCGAAGGGGAACATAACTTTGGCTGTTGTTGAAACACAGACAACTCTGTTCTCCTTGGATAACCTGTTTTAGTCAGATTGTTTTGTACAACTGTGAGTGTTGCTAAAGTTGACTTAACTAATTTGTGCAGTCAATTTCATTCCAGCTTAGTCTAATTGGTTTTATACTGGTATTATTATGTATCAATAGAGCTACAAAACATTACTTTATGCAGAGCTTGTCTGTACTGCATTGTTTAAAAATAACATTATTACATATTTACATATTTAAAATACTTGTATGAATGCGTTTTATAGACATTACAATTTTATAGATTAATGTTATAACATTTTCAGATCCCTTAACCCAAATTGTAAAAATAAAAATAGGACTATTATTTTACAAAGAAGAATTTTTTTAATTTAGTTACAAAATAAAGTTATTAATATAATTTGAGTCATCAATTATATGCAGAAATCTTAACCTAACTATTATAACTATTGTCATGTGGTTATTAGAACTGTGTAAAGAATTTTTCTTAACCTTAGCTAGTGATACAAATTGAATTTGGGATTAAAAATCCATAAAATGTCATTAAATTTTAATTTCATTTTCTTTTTGGCTTAGTCCCTTTATTTGGACGTACTCACACTATGAACAGTTGCCTTGAACCGGGCCAAAGCACGCTTGTCCCCCCTCCCGCCCCCCCCAACGGCCCACACTCATCACATTAGATTTGGGCCTGGGCCTGGGCATGGTTTCGTCATCGATGATGCGCTGTTCAGTAGAAAAGTGCACGGTTCGAATAGCATAGTGTGAGTAGGCCCTTAATCTGGGGTCACCACAGTAGAATGAACCGCCCACTTATACAGCACATGTTTTACGCAGTGGATGCCCTTCCAGCTGCAACCCTTCATTGGGAAACATCCATACACACTCATTCATACACATACTTTGCGGACAATTTAGCTAACCCAATTCACCTATACCACATGGCTTTGAACTTGTGGGGGAAACCAGAGCACCCGGAGGGTGCCCAACACGGAGAGAACATGCAAACTCCACACAGAAATGCCAACTTACCCAGCCGAGGCTCGAACCAGAGAACTTCTTGCTGCGAGGCGATTGTACTATCCACTGCGCCACTGTAATGCTGTTAGTGAGAAATTGTAATGAAATATTCCGTCATTTCCACTAAAAAAAAAGTGATGTGAAAAATATTCATGACACAATTCTTTGAAGTTATCTTTTCTTGGTAATGTTAAATTGTCATAACAAAGAACAAGTTGAGATGTATATGTTTTTGTCAAGTTGTCGTAACAAAAAAAACTTAAACAACGACTTTCATAATATTTGTTTTTTGTAATATGGAAGTAAACAATTACAAGTTTTCAGCTTTCTTTAAAAAAGGTCGGCAAAGTGTGGACAGCAAAGTAAGAATTTCATTGTACAGGGTAACTTGTCTCCTTACTGTGCACATGACAATAAACAAATTGAAATTGAAAATATTTTTTTGTGTTGAACAGAAAAGAAACTCACAAAGTTTTGGTTCCACTTTATTAATGAATTTAAAGTAATTAAGAAATCCAGTGGTTTATTCAAAATGACTCATATAGTCACTTGTTACCTACAGTATCAACACTAAAAATCATGTCACAGTTGCTGAAAACACTACAGACAGTCTGTCTGAAACAAAATAAGTCCCAGTGTTGCATGAATAAAAACACTCAGAACTAATGATTGCATAAACCTGACTGTGCTTGACAAGATATTAATAAGAATATATTGTGTTTTTGTTTAGAGTCATATAAAAAAAAAATAATAATAATAAAAAAAAAATATATATATATATATATATATATATATATATATATATATATATATATATATATATATATATATATATATATGTGTGTGTGTGTGTGTGTGTGTGTGTGTGTGTGTGTGTGTGTGTGTGTGTGTGTGTGTGTGTGTGTTTAGGATTTATAATTAGGCACTACACTATAGCTGTAATTCCACTACATCAACATTAACAAGTTAAGAAATAATCTTGTGGTAAAAATGCCATGAAAGTGAAAAATAAATCAGTACATACAGTAGTACTGCACTAGAATACATTGTCTTGACAATAAATGCTTCCTCTTGACATGCTGAAAATGTTAACCAATAAAAGTAATTGAGGGAAAGTAATTCATAATGAAGATGCCAGTGAAAATCTGGCGTTTTGTAAATGTGTTATTGATCTGTGTTTTCAAATTGACAGACAACAGCATTACACACCGCATGACAGGAAAAAATTTATCTTCAACAGTAGCACCTTGCATTGCCACTAAACAGAAATTGGATATACTTTAAATGAATTGCAGGTATAATCAGTAAAATAAATAAATGTAAAACAGGCTGTGTAGCAGATAGAAAATATAAATACAATTATCAAAAACAATGTGTGTGTCTGTGTGTGTTTCAGCTTTGCAGGATCTGCAATTGACCCTTGACCTCTCCTTACCCTGCAGGTGCATACTGTGGAGTTGATTGAGGTCATAATTCTGCTGGCTTCTATCTCCCAGGCAAAACTCTCCACCACGATCTGGTTTTGGTTCCTGTTCTTGTTAACTGCAATCTAAATACAGATCTGTAGATACTCATCTGCAATCTTCTCAAAACAGCTTAAATTGTTTAGGACCGTTTCAAAACTTTCCCTGCAATTACCATTTACCCCTTCCACAATCAAAATACAGAGCGCGTGTGAGAGGCTCTCTGTGCGTCATTTGCGCATCGGCTACCGTCTGCAGACTGCTCGTGATAGCTGTTCGTGTCCCAGAAGCGACGGTGCCGTAGAAGGCAGACGGTTATGCGGCCAGCAGGGCGGATCGAGGGGTGGAGCTGCTCCCGGTGCATATAGTGCAATTCCATGTTAGTCTGGAGAGAGTGAGCGAGAGGGAGAGAGAAAGAGAGAGAGAGGTCCCGTGTCCGGGTGCCGCACTTCACCTCAAACAACTTTAATCCGAGTGTGAGAACTGAGGGATTTAAAGCACAGGAGTTCATTCACTGCATTGATTCATGCATGGGAGTTATTTGACTTGCAGGAAAAAAATAAAACATCGCAACTTATATATAAAAAAATCGGGAATCACTTTAAAACATATTTCAGACATATTTAAAACATATGCCAGATAATATTAAATAGTTTATTTAAAGTTATCTCGACCGGGTTGTCTTTAGTCCAGTAAGCTTCAAGGGCGGGTTAGACGGTCTTCTGGTTGGACCAGTATTGAATTGAGAATATGTGTGACTCCGTTACCGGCTGTTAGCGGTGTGCGGGGCTTATTTCCACACTAGAGGCGCCGCCTTTGCTCTGAACACATACACGCGCCATCAGGTGCCAGATACACACACTCTTCCGATTGAGTGTACGCGTAAAGACAAATCAGCGAAGATCACCCAGGACTTTTCCAGACATCGAGTTGGATTTATACCGCAGATTGGTCTGTGTGACAACATGATGGATGCATGAGGGCGCGCGAGATCAATACACCCAATTAATCAATACCCTCTCCGCGCACGTGAAGATCAGCTCCGCTGGATGTTTATGACCGCATCTCTATCACCAGGTGGCTTTTCAAGAGCGTGTTTTCAAGCGCGTGTCTCCTGTTGGCGTAAATGTGCGCATAAGGTGTTTTGAGAGCCACAAAACAAAAGCGCAGAGCGACAATGCGCGTGCGGGATTAGTTTAAACTTTGGTTTGCTGCGGAATCGTCGGGATCTGGACTCTAAACTCGCGTCGCTGTACAGAAGAGACTACGTAGATCTCAGATGGGAGCGGATCTGGATTGAATTGCAGTTTATTTCCCTTAAAGAAGAAGGGGACATTCCAGCCGGAGGAGATTACAAGTGTTTCCTTTGCAAAGATTATTTGTTCTGACTCCTCTTCTTTTTGGATTTAAAAGTCCTGCGCCTGCTCTGGTGCAGTTGTCGCGCAGGAGGGATTCTGTGTGTTTTATCAGAACTTGAGGAAACAGCGGTGATGTTTGTGTTGAAATCAGTGGTGCTCTGTGCGTTGCTCTGCGGGGCTGGAGCCCAGTCGTGCCCGTCCCAGTGCTCCTGCAGCGGGACAGCGGTGGACTGCCACGGCCAGAGTCTGCGGAGCGTGCCGCGGAACATTCCCCGCAACGTTGAGCGACTGTGAGTGCGCCAAAAACACGATTATAATAATTGATAATTTTCTATTGTAGCAACAGAATATATTATTAATAATTTTGTCAACAAAATAGTGAAAACTGATTTTACACAAACAGTTACAGTTATTAATATTATTGACAATTTTGATTAACGTGCAAATAGCACTTAGGCTATTCAATTGGCGCATAAGTACAATTAATTGAATTAATGATTTATTAACTGTTGTCATATTAACATATTTACAATAGCTTTAATTAACTTAAAAAAACATTTAATTCTGTGACATTTTTTCACACTCTCATCAGAACAAAACTAGTGTGTCCTTTCTTATTCCAAGCACGCATGTCTCTATCTGTCTCTAACACCGACTGTCTTTCTGAAGTGGATTCATTAATTAAACTGGCATGAAGTTTAAACACAACCTGCTCTGCTTTCAGACTGCAAGAGCCATAGGAGCTGGAGCTAGCAAAGACTTTTAAAACTGTCTGATGTTCTGCTGTTAGAATTCCAATGACTCCAGGTCCACTACATATATATATATATATATATATATATATATATATATATATATATATATATATATATATATATATATATATATACATACAGTAATAAAAATATGCACTTTTGGCTGAAAGTCGCTTCCATAGGAGGATTTTAAATTATATGAGACACTAATGTAAGTTTTGTCAGGATTGCTGAAACCTGACCACAGAAACATGATCTAAGGACATACATCACTAATGATTAAAAAAAAATATATCACCGCCAGGATGGTACATGATGTAGACAATTGTTGAACATGTAAAATTAACTTTAGTGAAAGCCAGTGTAATGAAGTGTACAAAAAATCCATCGCCACATTACCCTCTTAATGGCTAAATGACATCACTTAATTAAGGCTATATACTTAAGTCATTATTCACAGTTTTACTACCTCTCTTTTTTTCTACAGGGACCTGAATGCAAACAATCTGACTAAAATCACTAAGGCAGATTTTGCGGGACTGAAGAACCTTCGAGTTCTGTAAGTATTGAATAGCCTGGTTCTTTTGCTGTGTTAAGAATACAGAAAGACTTGTGCATCCAAAGTAAAATTAATCTTAGCCCACACACACATTCGAAGTATTGAACACATCTCCATTTTCTGAGAAAACATACTTCTAAAGGTGCTGTTGACTTGAAATTTTCACCAGATGCCAAAGTAATCCACACGTATAAGACAATAAAATTAATTAGTTTAGAAATTAAATTATTTGTTATAAAATGAAATGTTACAGGGAAAAGTTATTGAAGAAAGTGAGGTGTAAAAAGACATGGAAAGCCCAGACCAGAAGTCCCAACACCTTCATTACCAGGATGATAAAGATGAAACCAGGGTGGAAATTTCAACAAGACAATGACCCCAAATGCAGCCGAGGGAACTCAGAGTGACTCAGTTGGTTTCAGAAAAGAAAATAAATCTGCTAGAATGGCCTGGCCAATAACATGAGTTGAATCCAATGAAAAATAAGAATTTAAGATTTTGCAGAAGAGACCCACAGACGGATGCCATGATTTTTAGACTCTGTTAAAGTCTAGTGGAAAAAAATCACACCTGAGCAATGCATGTGACTCCATTTTCTATATAAAAGGCATCTTTAAGCTGTCATAAAAAAAAGCCTTTTTCTTTTTTTTTTTTTTTTTTTTTTTACAAAGTATTCAGTAGTTTCTCTTTACTTTTTACCTTGTGTCATTCCATTGTTATTACACATCATTAATTTTCCAATTCTTTCTGTTTTGTTTTATTTGTGTTTGCATTGTTTGGGTTTTCACCAAAATCTGTGTCAATTTCATGTCAACAGCTCCTTTAGAAATATATTTACAACTATCACGACGGGTTCAATACACATTTTCACCCGCTATGTATTCTAATGCAGATTCATTCCCAAGTAAACACATCAATCTGCAGCTGCTCCATTATTAGAATAATATCTGTGAAGCATTGTTATACCAAATTCCATGAGTTCTGGATTTCACTGGAGGTTAAACACTTGTAGTATTCGCACACATACGGCAGACAAGTTTGAACAGCAAAGCTTTACAAGGCAGTGAACGCGTGATTGTCAGAAAATCACAAAGACATTTATTGAGAAAATGACTGCACTATTGGAATGTGAGTGTTTGTCTTTATCTGTTTTCTGATCTTCCTTTCTGTCTCTTTGTGAGGTTGTGACAGAAAGGGAGATTTTGTGAATGTAAATGTGACTGAGATGGAATGTCTGGGTGTGAATGTATGTGTTAGAGTGCGAGAGAGAGATATAGAAAACTCATGTAGGAACAGGTTTGCCCTCCCAATCGGATGGGGTAGTATTTCATCTGACGACTTTCTCTCTGTGTCCGTCTTTCCTCTCGCCCCAAACTATTTTTCTTCTTCGGGCTCTCGTTAAGTTTCTGTCGTTGGGACATCAGACTTCACTGTAATTACTTTTATTATAACAACTCATTAAAACCACCACCAATACTTGATTCACATTCAAAACCTAAAAGCAAAACAAATGACTCTAATTTGACACATCTTCAGTGTTTTGTGTTTTAAACACATTTTAGATTGTTTTACTACAGATTTATGACAGATGTACTTTGTTTTACCAGCAGCATACATTTCTGGAAGTCCTCTGCAGGTGTAAAGCATGTTTGCTTTCTCCATGTCTCACACACTTGTTCAGTCAAACAGAAAACTGTGACTGCCATTTCTCATGTAGGGTCAGTTTCCAGCTATGCTGGCTCTTACATCACAGAAGGGTTAAATAATGCATCAGTAAAACCTAGAATGATGCTATAAATATATGACTCCCATATTGCAAGTGTATACATTTCAAGCATACCCTGGGCATCTGTGATTTTGCAATGTGCTACTACTATAAAAATGCAAAGCGCAGTAACTATGACAAAGCCAGAGCTCAGAAAAATTGCAGTGTTGTGTGATTGAATGACTAAATCTGATTTCTGCTGTTGTTTCTCTCTAAATTTGAACCTAGCCTAATAAAATTATAATACACATGACTTCAAACCATTATTTTGACAAGAGTTTGGTATTTGTAGACTGAAAAATAGAGCAGTTCCTGTTTGCTTTGCTTGCTCCTGTTTGCAGGAGTGTCTCTGATTTAGAGATATATTTTAAAAAGGTGTTTGTGAAAACTATTTACAGGCATTGAAAAATAAATATAAAGGAGCCAAGTATGCACAGACATACTAACCGTTTCAATCATTGAATTACATGCAATGAGTGATTTATCGAAATTTTGGTCTCTCCTACATTTCCTTTTTAGGCAGTTAATGGAGAACAAGATCAGTTCAATTGAAAGAGGGGCATTTCAGGATCTACAAGAGCTGGAAAGACTGTAAGTGACTACACACGTGCACACACACACACACACGCACACACACACACACACACACACACACACACACACACACACACACACACACACACACACACACACACACACACACACACACACACACACACACACACACACACACACACACACACACACACACACACACACACACACACACACACATTTATATGTAGCAAAAAAGTCAGCACTGTACTGTACAATTAATTGAAAAAGCACATGACACAATCAACTGTGTGTTTTCATACATTAATGGTGAACATTGTATGTTGTCGGCATGTGTGTGTGTGTTTGTGTGTGTGTGTGTGTGTGTGTGTGCACATTGTGGTAAGGATTTGATGGAGCAACATATTTGTCTGACAGCCAACCCAGCCTCAGGGAAACACACACACATGCACAAGTAACTCTGGCACACTCAGGCCTTTAAGAGAATGACACTGGAATCTGGAATGGAAACGGGAATTACGCTCTTACGGACAAGCTTTTACCCCCCAGCTATTCTCCATTTTCAAACCATATTCTTTTTGATGGCCTTTATGGTCACTGACTCAGACAAAAGTTTAGGTTTGTCAGTTTCGTAAAGTGGTGCATATGCCATATGCTACCTTAAATGCTTTATAAAGTTATAAAAAATTGAATATTATATGATATTAACCAGTATAGGTGAAATGAAAATACTGCAAATTCGGAATATAGTTAGAATTTTTCAAGTCATAATACAGAACCTTTCTATTTGCGAGTGTATTAAGACATGTGGTTAACAAGTTGCTACAGTTGTCAAATTTTAACAGCGCACAAGCTCAAATGCCTGTACATTGTAAAAAAGTGGTAAACTTCAAGGAGAAGTTTAACCTGAACAAGGTTATTCTACCTTATCTGACCCCACAAAAAAACAAAGCTGGTGAAAGGTAATGCATTTACAGTTGAAATCTCAATTATTAAACCCCCTTTAATTTTAATTTTTAAAAAAATATTTCCCAAAATATGTTTTACAGAGCAAGGAAATGTTCACAGTATGTCTGATAATATTTTTTTCTTCTGGAGAAAGTTTTATTTGTTTTATTTCAGCTAGAATAACATCAGTTTTTAATAATAATAAAAAAAAAACATTTAAAGGTCAAAATTATTAGCACCTTTATGCTATATATTTTTTGATAGTCTACAGAACAAACCATTGTTATACAATAACTTGCCTAATTACCCTAACCTACATAGTTAACCTAATTAACCTAGTTAAGTTAAGCCTTTAAATATAACTTTAAGCTGTATAGAAGTGTCTTGAAAAATATCTAGTAAAATATTATTTACTGTCATCATGGCAAAGATAAAAGAAATCAATTATTAGAAATGAAAAAAAAAATGTTAACCATATCATACCATCGTAGCAAAAGCGTATTGACAAAATGAAAAAAAAAGTACATTGTACATAACATTTTCAGCAAAGTGGGAGCATATTCTGCACTTACTTCTCTTACTCATAAAATTAGCAAACAAACAAACAAAAACATTTGATATTCAAAAAGGAAAACAGGGAGAGTTAGCAATTAATAAGGGAACACAATTAATAAAGATTACTGTGCAGTTCATTCATTCTAAAAATTCAGTCCATGCATATTTTAAATGTCATATTCCTACATTATTCTACTTTGAGATGACCAAAGTTCACTACAGCCACAGTTACAGCAAAACATATTTTTGATGTAGGGATTAAGAGGTGTGCTGTGCTGCCTGATTACCAGTCAATCACTTGCTCAATGCTATCCTGTTTTTCTCTTAGTAAATTTACTAAGAGATAAATTAGTAAATTTAGTAAACTTATTATGACTGAGACTTACCTTTGGCTTTTGCTAACTTGCCTTTGTGAGAAAAGCACATAATATACTCACGAGGATGCTAACTTTAGCTTTCGAAAAGCTTTTTGTTAGCTGTGTTTGGTGTGGCTTTAAATGCTAGCTAGTGAAAAGGGTCAATGGCATTAATTGTAAATGTGGTAACTTATAGCTCATAAAGAGGAGTACAGCTAACTGGTAATAGCTTGTAATAATAGCAAACTTGCTTTCAGCGTAAATTGTGCAGTGTTGGCATAACTGAAGGGTTAGGTGGGCGAGTGGTGGGGATGAATAGCTCTTTATAGTGATAAGTGTAGGGATAGAGGAGCTAGCGGTAGCGTTGAATAGCACAGCTAAAGTCAGTGTGTAAGATCAGTCCCACTGTGCCGGTACAAAAGCAGGAGTCTAATGCTAGAGGGTGACTGCATAGCTGAGAGGATTAGAACGCACAGGCATTATAATGCCCTACCAAAGGCCCTTCATAAATATGTGTGTGTGTGTGTATGTGTATTGGGGATGCACTTAGGTATTGGGTGTGACGACCTCCTGTGGGGAGGAAAAGTGGAGACTCTGTTCCAGATATGACCCCCCTTTCTCTGTGCACACACACACACACACACACACATACATGCAAACACCCTTCGTCACGGCTTGCTAGACATGAGCAATGCAGTCAGGTAAAGTAAGCCTATGGAGAACAACTTGAGCAAACGAACAGGAGCCTTGTTTTCCTCATTGCTTTTTTTTCTTTTATTTGCTTGATTATTTCCTCACACAGTTTCTTTTCTTCTTCTATGATGTAGCTTGTTTTTCATGCACTTATTTTGATTTGTTACGTTCTGTTTTTGTATTCTTAGCTTAGTAGTGTAGCTTGTGGCCCATTTCCACTGACTGGCACAGTACGGGACGGTACAGGCCGGTATGGGTCACCTTTATAAAGCTTGCGTTTCCACTGCCTAAAGGGTACCAAGGGTACCCTTTTGGTGGGCGTGGTGTGTGACAGAAAGTTTCAGTCGCCGTCATTCTCTCTCGAGGAAATGTCAAAGCAAAGCTGTACGGGTCGTTCACACATCATACGAAAAGCACTTCTCACAAAACAGATGCTTTATACCCAAAAATACTTCTCTAAGAACATAATTTGATTATAACTGCAGATCATTGCAAAAATAGCTTGCTGTAACATCTGCGATAAATAAATGAAACATATATGAACACTTACAGTCTTGAATATGTTACCAATTACAGAAAAACTACACATAGCATATTTTTGGGCTTAAAAACGACACGCAACATAGCCCATAGTCAGTGCAAACCTCTTATCTGTACCTTTAATCTTCAGCAGCACATGTAACCTCTGTTAGAGAGTAATTCTGTCATGCCAAGTTCATAATAGTCCAAAAGGCGATGAAAATAGTTATACGTGGCAGTTTGTTCATGTTTTAGGTTGGTGAAAGAATCATTTGCACCTTCGTTTTTCGAGCTTCTCCTTCGTTTTTTCGTGCTTGAATATCGCTTTTGTTTATTTATAAGACGTTCGGATGTCAGAAGCACTTCAATCATCATGCGCACGCTATTATCATCAGCTCAAGAAGTTCATTATTTCAAATAGCCTATAGACGTGTGGCGAGCTCTCACTTTTAGATGGCCTCACAAAACAAAAACAGGACACGGTAGATTTTGTTGTTCTTGGCTTTGTGGCTGCACATCAAGAAAACAACAAGGTTTGTCTGAGCTTGGGTCAACCATGGCTCGTTATTTTATGCATATAGTATTACAATGTAATGTCTCGGCTGTGTATTTAAAAAAATGGTGGTTCCCTTGTTTTCATTTTTCTGCTTGTGTATGCGCGAGTGACGCTTGTCTGTAAACAAATAGTGTTTAGCTGCACATCTAGCTCCACCTTTTGGTACCCTTTTGTCATGCTTAGTTACCCTTTGTAAAGGGTGCCAAAAAAGTGGTACTGTACGGTTTGATTTTAGGTCCCGTTTGACAGTGGAAACGGCCATAAAATTTTACCGAACCATACCGTACCACTCATTGGAAACGGGCCATTATAATATATTAAGAGCATAGACAGGGTTCCTGATTTAATATTGCACAATCAAACATTTGCCTTAAACATTGTTAGTACTAGTATGAATTGCAGCTCATTCTAACCAAGAACTGCCCACACAGATAGGATCTTACCTTAAAGTGTTTTGTTTTGTGTGCCATTTAGCAGTAGGTTCATCTAACTTACTATATATATCTGTGTAACCAAAAAAAATAAGGATTTAAGTATTCCATATCTATACACGGTGGCTCAGTGGTTAGCACTGTCGCCTCACAGCAAGAAGGTTGCTGGTTCGAGTTCCAGCTGGGCCAGTTGACATTTCTGTGTGGAGTTTGCATGTTCTCCCCATGTTTGCATGGATTTCCTCCTGGTGCTCTGGTTTCCCCCACTGTCCAAAGACATAGGTGAATGTAATAAACTAAATTTGCTGTAGTGTATGTGTGTGAATGAGTGTGTATGGGTGTTTCCCAGTACTGGGTTGCAGCTGAAAGGCCATCTGCTGTGTAAAACATATGCTGGATAAGTTGGCGGTTCATTCAACTGTTGTGACCTCTGATTAATAAAGGGACTAAGCCGAAGAAAAATGAATGAATCTTCCTTTAACAACAAACTCAAGACAAGTTTTAAAGAATTTAAACTTGGAAAACTTCTGCAAATCAGATGATTATTTTGTTGTCAAAAGCCCTTTGTTTCTGTTTGGCCTAATAAAGTCTGTGCATCTATAAGGAAATTCAGCCAATCAGATTAATGCTTGCCAAATGAAAAAAGTATGCAATATGCAATGGTTTTTCAGTGAACTGACTGTGGGCCTGAGTCTGCAGATTTACAAACTTCATAGTCATAAGCTTATCTCAAGTGTTAGACCTGATTGATTGTGGATCATGTATGCTTTACGTTACAGTAGCTGCATGTGTTCAGACTAACTTTCAATTCATTCTTCGCTCTGTTCAGTCTTGTTGCCGGTTTTTTGGCATTAAAAGTCATCTCACTTTATGGCCCTCTTTGGAAATGACTGAGTGCATGTCTCTGTTTGTGTGTGTGTCAGAGTCTGGCTATGTGCATTTCTATCTGTAAGTGTGTGTGTCTGTGTGTACTTGTCTATTTTAAGGGTCGATCTTATTCGCTTTAAGCACTGTGTGTGTATGTGTGTGTGTCTTTGTGTGTTTCTGCAGCAGGGTCCACAGGGAAGGCTGTCCTCTGTGCCTGAGTGAAACACGTGGGCATTTCTGGAGTGTGGAGCACTGTGTGCCTCGTTATTATTTCATCATTCATTAAATATTCAAATGGAATGATGTAACTCCAGAAGCTGAACGATGATGTCATCGGCTGCTATGTTTGACTGTGCGAGTATGTCAGAGAAAGTGAGGGTGTACAACAGCGAGAGAGAGAGCGAGTGAGAGCTTGATGGTTTCATACTTTGTGCAGACAGAGTTCACTTTGGAACTTTGGCTTGTGTGACTGACGTGCGGCAAATCTCGCATGCTGATGTCAGAGCTCAGGAATTGATCGAGTGTTTGTGTTATTTTAACGTTCTCCCATTATCAGCAGACTCAATAATGTCGCTGTAGAAGTTGTCAAATCTCGGATGCTTAATAGGCTGCTCTGAACAATATGTATTCTGGTATTAAAAACATTATTGATTAATCTCAAGCCTCATTAATCTAACACACAGACAGCAGTGGCGCCACTCTTCATTAATATGCGCAGTGGGTATTATATATGTGCTGATTGTAATGCATAATGTCTATTATAGATGCTAGTCGGGAATTATTTTCAGCTACAATCGAGCATGAGAGAATCAAGGGGATAGTGAGAAGTTAGTGGCTGTATTAAACCAAATATGCGTTTTGTCTTTCATGACAAGTATGCATATGTGTTTGTGTGTGTATGTGTATTTACACTGTAAGTTCTTTCGCTTCACTTTGTGCGAGACGTTCTGTTTGTTTTTCCCACATCTGTTTTTCCGGGCTGTTCTTTGTCTGCGTGTGTTTGCTAGATGCCCCCACACAGTGCCTGCCAGCCCCACACACACACACACACTTGCACACATTCAGTCAAGGCCCAAGTTGATGGCTGACAGGCCCGAATTAAAATATTTTATACATTTTTAAAAACACAAATTTACCAGTGCTTATTTCTTTACATATTTACCAATGTTTCATGTGGAATCTATTCATCTTGCCATATTCTTATTTTTAAATGTCATCAGGATAGATTATTTTAGCTGTTTCAGTTTTGCAAGTGGCAATACATTTTAGTTCAAAGTTTCTGTGAACAGGTAACGGTCTGATGCACATCATGTACTGTTTCTGGTGCCTTACAGTCATTGAGTTCCACTCTTGTAAATATACGTACATACACAAAAAAAAAAAAACACTTTTTTTGTTCAAACTACTTATTTAAAATGAGCTGAAACAACACCATTCTTGACATTTCATTGGGACAACTTAATTTTTTATGTTCAGTCCACATAAATCTGTTAAAAGTGTCAGGTTAATTTAATCAATTTGTGTTGGGACAACATGAATGAATAGTATGGAACCCTGCATTTTTTACAGTGTACAATGTGTTTTGTGTCATTTCATGTCGCTGCGTGTGTCTGTGTTTGCAGGCGTCTCAACAGGAATAATCTTCAGGTTCTTCCGGAGTTGCTGTTTCTGGGCACGACCAAACTCTTCAGACTGTGAGTCCTTTATCTTTAGGCCCCTTCTATTTCCTCGCCCTGTTTTCTTTTCACACCCCTTTCTTTCCCGTTCTCTCTTCATTGCTGTCTTTTCTTGGTTCCTCTTTGTTTCTTTTTTTTGTTTTGTCTCGTTTCTAAAGTGTATTTATCTATGTAGGTTTTACAGATACATTTTGTGAAATTTGTGTTGCGAACTGCATATTTAAATCCCGTTGGCTTCTCTAATGTTGTGGTTTGATTTGTAGATTTGGGGTTTATACACTTTTACATTACTGTTGCAGTATAAACACAGGACAATTTTGAGGGATGTCTTCTGAATCTTGCTCATTACTCCCAGACAGATCTGTGTGTGTGTGTGTGTGTGTGTGTGTGTGTGTGTGTGTGTGTGTGTGTGTGTGTGTGTGTGTGTGTGTGTGTGTGTGTGTGTGTGGTTGTGTGTGTGTGTGTGTGTGTATGTGTACATGTGTGTGGTTATAATTGAGTTATGCAGGACATCTAGGGATCAGCAGTGAGGGAGGTTCAGACCATGAACAGAGTAAATTGAGTTAAAAGGAGATACACGCTTAAACATCTGCTGCTCAGAGAGAGAGCGAGAGGAAGGGTAGCGAGCGCTAACAGCTTTACCAGGAAAAACAACATTCTAACAGACTTTGCAGGAGGTTGATGGAGGAAATGTCTGTGTGTGTGTGTCTGTGTGTGTGTGTGTGCTGCACACATCGCTCATGTTTCTGCCGTCATATATCCACTGTTCATGTTCTAGACATGGTATGGTTGTGTGTGTGGTCTCCTAAAAATATACTGGGATCTACAGGCTCAACTATCAGGTGTGCATAGTTGCTTGTGAGACTTAAAGTAAATTGCTGGACTTAAAGTCAGATCCTAAAGAAATAGATTGATGTGTTTTCCAAGACGCAGTTCATTGGTTTATGTGTTAATGTGTGTGTAGGGCTCAAGTTTTACCCATGTTATGGGGACACTGGTTTGTGTGAGGGATAGGAAATATCAATGGAAATTATGTGAGCAAGCAGGCACATATTAGTTTTTCATGATTCTTAGGAAGGGCATCACGGTGCTGCAGTGGGTAGCACAATCACCTCACAGGAAGAAGGTCACTGTTTTGAGCTTTAGCTGGGTCAGTTGGTATTTCTGTGTGACATTTGCATGTTCTTCATGTCTTTGCTTGGGTTTTCTACAGGTGCTCCGATTTCCCCCACAAGTGCAAAAACATGTAGTAAGGGTGACCTGGATAAGCTAGATTGTCTGTAGTGTATGTGTGTGAATGAGTGTGTATGGATGTTTCCCAGTGATGGGTTGCAGCTGGAAGGGTATCCGCTGCATAAAAAATATGCTGGATAAGTTGGCGGTTCATTCTGCTGTGGTGACCCTAGATTAATAAAGGGACTGAGCCGAAAAGAAAATGAAGGAATGAATGATTCTTAGGAAGGATTTGTTTTGTTCTGTCTGTCAACTCAGTTTCAACTCAAGATGGTAGCAGGTGTGTGAGAAAAAAAGAAAATGAGAGGAAAAGAGGAAGGCCTCCTGGTGCATAGTACTTTCTGATAGTATTATCTGATTTCACACACACACACACACACACACACACACACACACACACACACACACACACGCACACACACACACACACACACACACACACAGTGTTCAGTCCTCATTAGATTATCTCTGCGCGTCTACATCTGTGGCTAACATGCGCAGCTTTTATCTGCCTGCCTCTTTCATCACTCTGTCTATCTCATTTGGCTTTATTTTGCTCCTTTTCCTGTTCTCTTAAGCCTTTCTTTCTTTCTTTCTTTCTTTCTTTCTTTCTTTCTTTCTTTCTTTCTTTCTTTCTTTCTTTCTTTCTTTCTTTCTTTCTTTCTTTCTTTCTCTCTTTCTTTCTTTCTTTCTTTCTTTCATGCATCCTCTTCCTCTGCTCCCCTGATCAGGTTTGACGTTAATGTGTCTGGATGGAGTGTGTGTGTGTGTGTGTGTGTGTTTTTGGAGGGGGATGGTCTGGTAGCGGGTGACAGAACCTTCTAGAGCTTGTTTTGTTCATCTTGCCGGGTGCCCTGGTGACCCCGGCTTCTGCTGTATGTGTGTGTGTGAGAGAGAGTATATGTTTGTGTGTGTGTCTGTGTGAATATGAGTTATGGTTACACACATACGGCCGCTGCCACAGTAGCGGCTGAAGTATTTCTGCCTTTTGTCTCCTCTGAGGCCGGGCCTGTTTGAAAACCTTTGAATAACATTGGTTATGTTGGAGAGAACGTTCAGATAACATTTCTCACGGACAGCAGGTCGGTCACAGCTGTGTATGTTTGGATAGAGAGAAAGTGGGAAAGAGAGAAGAAAGGGACTTGAAAGAGAGAGGTAGAAAAGGAAAAGAGGAGACATGAAGGCAGAGAAAGAGGGAGAGAGAGGGGGAGATTACTGGTCAGAGTTTTGAGAGTCCATTAAGAACTCTGTAAAACCCAACAGTAGTTTCAAAATAAGACTGACTCACCAATAAAAAACATACAAACTGAAAAAAAACAGAATAAGGAAGAGACTTTAGATTAAAAGATATATTAAAATATTTAATGCACCACAGGTGAACAGCATTAAAAGTGTAACTAATAGATATCACTATGCTTCACAGTACAATTATTTTGTATTAAACTTTTCTAAAATGTTGTGTTAAATAATGAAACGTTAAAATGGCAACATGTAAATATGTTTACAATACTTTTATGAAGTTATTACAATAACTTTTACATAACAAGCCAGATATAGAATACACTCTAAAGCCTTAAAAATATAAAGAGAAATAAAATGGAAAAGTCTGAAGTAAATTATGTGTTAAGTTGCTCAATTAATAAAAAAATGTGAAAAACATTTACATGTACTTTAATTAAACCTTATAATTAATATCTGTAAATACATGTAGAGAAATTGTGATAAGATGAACGCTTTTTAATAAACACAAGTTTTTTTTCAAGAGTTCTGAAATAATACATGGCAAAGAAGCAAAATGAACCAGTGTAATAATAATAATAATAATAATAATAACAACAATAATAATAATAATAATATAATGATGATGATAATAATAATAATAATAATAATAATACCAATAATAATAATAATGATAACAATAATATTAATAATAATAATAATAATTACAATAAATATATTTAAAATTTACTGTGATTTTGCTTATGGGGTCACATCTTAATATAATTTTTTTATTTGCTGATTTGGATAAGGCAGCCGTTACTTTTCTTCTGAATTGAGCTTTTGCGAACTTATTCATTGGCGCGAATGCCCATAGTTGCTACGGTTACTGTTGTCATGTCACGTAGCCATCATCCCTCATCCAGTAACCATTAGTGCTGTTTGTTGGTGTTTCTGACCACCGAAGGAATTTCTCCCGTTGTGACGTCTGTGTGTGTCTTGCATTGATCCTGTCACTGGTTATTAAGTCTAACTAAATGATTTACAATTGTAATTGTAAGTTGTTTATGCATCTATTTTAAATAATAAGGACAAACTTTGATCAATAATTTTATGTCTGTAAATAAAGACAGATATGATGGTGAAATTAATGTTTTGAGATATGATGAACATTCTGTCATAGTTTGACCTCATGCAAATCCAGACATTTTATGATCTTCTTTTACAATCTTAAACTAGAAAAAGTTGTGACAGCATTTAAAACCATATAAAAAAGACAGAGTAATGATTTCTAAATTTACTTTGACTTGTAGTTTATTGCAGACAGGCCAGTCAAGTACCTCTATCCTCTTCCTCCGCCGTCAGGACTTTATAATGTGTGCAGAATGTGGTTTTGCATTGTCTTGTTGAAATATGCATGGGCGTCCCTGGAAAAAAAGGCAGCATATTGTGCTCTAAAATCTCTTTGTACTTTTCAGCATTAATGGTGCCATTACAGAAATGCAAGTTACCTTTGCCAAAGGCACCTGACCATGACAGACCATGGTTTTTGGACTTGTTGCTGGTAACAGCCTGGATGATCTTTTTCATCTTTGGTCTGGAGCGTTTATTTCTCTCAAAAAGTACCTGAAATACTGATTTATCTGACCACAGTACAGGTTTCCACTGTGTGATTATCCATTGCAGATAACTTTGAATACAGAAAAGTCAAACTGAAGTAGGCACTGTTTACATAGGGCTTCCTTTAGGCACAGTACAGTTTTCACTGACATTATGGGATGTAACTATGTTTTGTGGCACTTGACAAAGGTTTGCCAAAGTAGTCCTGAGCTCATGTGGTAATATTGCTTATAGATGCATGATGATTCTTGATGCAGTGCCACCTGAGGGATTGGTTGTTCAGCTTAGGCTTAGATCCTTGCCTTATAGGTACTAAAACTCCTCCAGATTCCTTGAATCTTTTAATTATGTTATGCAGTGTTGAAGGTGAAATATCAAAGTATTATACTATCTTTCTTTGAGGAACATTGGTTTTAAACATTTCAATGATTTTTTTTTCATGTATTTGTTGACAAACTGGCGATCCTCAACCCATCATTGCTCCTGTTTCATATCACATCATTGATTGATTGATTGATTGATTGATTCATTCATTCATTCAATTTCCCTTCTGCTTAGTCCCCCATTCATCAGGGGTCACAACAGCGGAATTAACTTCCAACTTATTCAGCATATGTTTTACACAGTGGATGCCCTTCCAGCTGCAACCCCAGTAGTGGTAAGCATTCATAAACACTCATTCACACACAAACTCTAAAAACAATTTAGTTTATTCAATTTACTTATAGAGCATGTATTTGGATTGTGGAGGAAACTGGAGCACCCGGAGATAATCCACGCCCACACAGGGAGAACATGCAAACTCCACACAGAAATGCCTACTGGCCCAAAACAGCCAGCTTCTTACTGTGATGCGACAGTGCTAACCACTGAGCCATCATGTCGCCCATCACATCATTATTTAACCAATTTACCTGGTTATTATTGCTAAATTTCTCCTGTTTCAA